TCATATTCATTTTGTAACTATATCTCACAAAATGAAGAAAGTATGTGTTGTAAAATTGAAAAAAAAAAAAAAAAAGCAGCTTTTTCCATGACTCTTATAAGCCATATAGATAATGTTATACCCTATGTAGTGAGTATGAACAGTTAGTAGGCAGCCTTTTGGGTCTCACGGTGAATTACATTCGTGTCATATGTGTTAATGAGTGAATGCTGGTGTAGATCTTGTAAAATGTAAATAATGTTAATTAAATCTCATAACTTTGTTTCATGACTTTTATTTTTCGCCCACAGCCACTGATAAAGTGTCTATTACAATCTATGGCAGGGTTAGGTACTCCTCTCCTGTATTCCCCTTTTGACCTAGTTTGACCGTATAGGTGACTTCATAACACCGAGTGTCTATTGGTTGCCTTTTCCAGTCTTAATCCCCACACACAACCACAATCAGTCTGTTCAACCCCTGACACTGTTCTTTATCCCGCTCTATCAAAACACGGGCTGCTGCCACGTTTCAGTCCAAGTGTCACGAACATTTCTTTATCTCAGTATTATACAGTTCTAGCTGGGTTTTAGGAACTTGTAATACTTTGATCATGACTTGTTTATCATTACACTGAGATCATCAAAACATCAGTGGAGGGCTTAGTGTTCTAGCAGACGCAATGCTGATAGCAATGTTTTTTAGTTTTGTAATTTAAACATGAAATTTAAATATGAAAACATGGAGGAATTCCACATTTCTAAATATCAATGCTTCTATACCTGGGATTTCAACTTTTCTAGGCAGCTGCCCGCTCTCTATTTGTTTCATTTTTAGCTTGCTTGAACTTGCATGTTTGATTTTAACTCCTTATCTAATGACCTTCCACTTTTTTTAACAAGTCCTTACACCCCCTGGAGGTGTGCCCTACAGGCTGAATCCCCTGGGTTTTACAGGCCATTTTACATGGACATTAATGCTGTGTTCAAATCAAAGTGGCAACTTGTAATTCCCCACCTTCAACCAGTAAAAGCCAAAGAAAATGCCCCTCAGCTTGAAATTTCAACTTGTCAACGCAGGGAGTCTGGAGTGACGCCGAATCAACATGGCTGCACACAGCGTCAGAAATAAAGTAGCACTTCTTACCTTTAAACGAGTTATGCTCTACATACCAGTATTTGCTTTAGATCAATCAACGTACAGATAAACTTCCTTGTTAAATTGAAAACACTGACTCTACAGATCGCTGTCTGAGGAGCTGGCTGGCTAGGTTTTTCAAAATATGGAGACATCAAACATGCTGAGGTGGAAAATGACATCATTCTAACCTGCAAATTACTACTCACAAGGCACGTCGAACGCAGCATAAGTTACCATTTCAGCTCCAGTAGTCAATCCTCTGATGTTATTTTTATGTACAAGGTGGATAGGTTACCACAATTTCTGCGCAATTTCTTTCCATTTGGTAAAGGTTTTGTGCAAGTGCGAATGTTCTCGCGAATATTTTTTTGAGCAATGTGTCAGGCTGTGCTGATCAGTGGATCAACTACCAGCATTTCATTTTTCAAAAAACAAGTAGTACTAACTTCCTAAAATTGTAATTATCAAGACAAACTCAGTTTTACCCAATATTAGGAAACATGACATGAACATATCACCTTGGTTCATCATGTTGGCTGTTTCTATTCATGTGGTACTTTATTTGTCAGTCAGTATTGTTATTTCATGTTGTTGGAGTAAGATATTATGGTAGATATATGAATGTAGGAGATGAAAAACATACTTTTTTTTAAAAATTGAATGTATTGATTTGTCAGAAATAAATAAAAATAGAATAACAACCTATGGCAAAATTAGTCTTAATAAAGCATGGAAAGTAGAAATTTCATTTTCTCTGACAGATAACAGGTATATCCTACTGCACCGACTCACAGTAATGATTTCCGTTCTATATGAAGGCTCCTGTGAACGCCTGTACCTTCAGTGGACAGTAACACCAATAAATAAAATCAGTATAAGGCTGATATAGTATCTGGCTGATGTACTCATAATAGTGATAATGATTAAGATAAATGATTATTAGTGCTTCATTCTCAACCTGGAGGCCATACACGAAAGCTGACTTTCATTTCCTCCAGTGACTGTCAACTATTGAAATTTCTGGTTGAATACAACCCATATCAGAAGAATCCAACAAAAACAACAAGGAATTCCGCTATGCCACATTGCTCCACTCTGAGTCAAACCCTGGAGAATCTGAATCGAGCTCTGTAGGAATCAGTGTTTTTTGTGACTTCTTGGTAAAAAAGCCACAAAGCATCATGCACCATGAACAAGAAAACAACATTATGTAAGTGAGATCTATGCCGATGGCAGGTTTTAACTGGAAGAGGCCAAGCTCTGCACCATGCTCCCTCTGAGCCTCCATCACAGCTCGACTCACCATCCCTCAAGACACAAGCAAGACATGCATCATGACTCTTCTCTGGTACTGGTACTCAGGTGGTGGAATAAACTGTGGAGCAGTCGGTGCATGATATAGAATGCAAAATGAAAGGGTGTGCTGGATCAAGTGCTATTTTATTACCTACCAGTTAAGGTAAATGAAGGTGTTAAATTAAACCAAATTTGCAGTGAGTAATGTGAACTAAGAACGAGAAACTTGGACTATTCATGCAGCGATATATCGTACACTATAAGGCCCAAAGTTTGTGGACACCTGACCATCACATCCATATGTGGGTCTATGAATTACAATTTCCCTTCAGTGGAACCAAGAGGTCAAGACCAAACCTGTTCCAGCATGACAATGCTCCTGTGCACAAAGCGAGAGCCATGAAGACATGTGGGTGCAGAAGAACCCGAGTGGCCTGCACAGAGCCCTGACCTCGACCCCACTGATCACCCTTGAGATGAATTAAAATGCTGACTGAGCCCCAGGCCTCCTTGCCCGACATCAGTGCCTTATCTCACTAATGCTCTTGTGGCTGAATAAACACAAATCCCCACAGCCACGCTCCAAAATCTAGCGGACAGCCTTCCCAGCAGCAAAGGCGGGACCAACCCCTTATGGTTTTGGAATGGGATATTCATCAAGCACTCGTCAGGTTTCCACATACTTTTGTATATTATCATATTAGTCTTTTTATTTTTTAAAATGTTACTAAGGATGACGTATTACAATAAAGAAAAGAAACGCTATTTCCGTCTTCAGTCGGCATTTTCTATCCCTGATTTTTTTTTTCAGGCTTTAAGGCTAGTGCTTGTGTTTAAAGGCTGTAGTCTAGCTGAAAAACGCCACCTCGGATGTTTCAACTCAAGAAAATCTGGCAAGCTCAGAAGTGCGAAATAAACGCATATTTGCATATTCTGAATGGCTCACCCAGAAAATCAAACTCAAGCAGGTGTGTTACTCATCCTTAAATTCCCCCGTGTAAATACTGAAGCAAATATTGATATGAGCACTAATTTGGAAAATCCTTAACCGCTCTGTTTTGTTGCTGTACGAATTCATTGTACTAGCTCTTTTACACATCAAGCTCAAATACATCAAGCTCTTCTTTTTTTTTTTTAGGAATTTAGTTTGATACTATTCTTAAACCCTGACCTATTTGTACCAGGATGAGGATATGTTTATTACGGAGACTACAAAGCACTTCCGTAAATCGTTTTGCATAATGACGTCAGCCAAATGCTGTAAATGTAAACTCAAAGTGCTTTCGATCCTGCTAGTGAACTCTGAAAGACAGAGTCCGAGCCTTTTTGAGAGGTTGCGTAACGCAACTGTATTCAGATTGTAATGAAAGTCATGACTAATGAGAGCACATGGAGCAGACAGAAAGCTGATTGCTTATTTGGCCATGACGGCTGCTCACACTCTCCGTGTTTAGTCTCGTCTTTGCGTTTCCTCCATTCTGACCTCGAACATTATCACCTACGATAAACATGTTTCCATGTGTTGAGTGCGACATTGTGAAAGATGAAATGTACTGGAGACATATTTGGGCTGACACTAGTGAGATTAATGAAATTTGAATGAATATTGTGGTGTTTCTAGCAAATAACTTGACAATTTTAACTAAGGTTTTCACCCTTTACTGTTAGCACAATGCTCTGTTTAGACAGAAACTGAACATTTTGCAACAATACGTTTTGCATGTAGTTTCATTTTTCTCTGCACTACTTTCACTTTCTCCTTTACAACAAAGGGAGTTTTTATGCAGCAATAGAAAAAAAAAAACACTTGTGACTGCTACTTAGCTAGCAGGAAAAAACTACTTCAGGATTAGGAAAGCTTTTATACTGCTACACTGTATTATTTAGAAAATGATCAAGCGAAATCTAAGAACCACTTACCAAAAATTTCCCCATTTTTGGCATACTCTGTCACCAAGTAGAGCATATTCTTGGTCTCCATGACCTGTGCAAGAACAAAGAACATTTTCAATATTCAGTCTCTACTGTGTGTTTACACTATACACGCAGTCCTTTCCTTCTGCCTTGCACTAGCTGATCCGGTAGAATGAAGAAAAGAAAAAGGCAAACAAAGCACACGGCAAGCGCACGAGCTTCGTGAAAATGGACAAGCGGTTTAGGGTTTTTGTGCGGTCGCTGCAGCAGGATTCATGCCTCCCTGTTAGCGATACAGTGGTGTAGGCATGAATCAGACTGGCTGCTTGGGATTCTGCTCCATCGTAAGCTTGATTCATAGTGCTATGACCGAGACAGCGATAGGTGGGAGGACTCCAAAATTAGCCGAAGAAAACAAAAAGATGAATAGGGCTAAAAAAAAAAAGTAGGAGGCAGAGATGTTATTATAAATCAGATGCACACAGCCAATCATAGACACACTGGGGAGCTAGTGATACAGATTCTGATACTCGTTCATTCTCTCGTACTGGCAAAGGGTTATTTGTACGACTTCCTACTTGATTTTCAGGTGACATTTTAAATACAATATGCCGTTGGCTACTATTGTATTTAAAATATCATCTGAAAATCAAGTAGGAAGTTGTACAAGTGTTGGCTAGGTCAGTTGGTAGAGCGTGGGCCTCTTCATCTCAGGATCATGGGTTTGAGCCCCATGCTGGGCACCAACCCCAGCCAGTGGGGGCGCACAGGCTAGCGCACTCTCGGGGCAAGTCCCAAGCCCGGGGAAATGGGAAGGGTTGCTTCAGGAAGGGCATCCGGAATAAAACCTGTGCCAAATCAATATGCGGACAATGGAAAACGATCTGCTGTGGTGACCCCTAACCGGAGCAGCCGAAAGAACGACATGCTGTTGGCTACTATACCAAAGCACCGTTGAATGTTCTGGTTGGTGTTGATTAATTTTCTGTAACAGCATAGCTCGGACAGGACTGCCAGCCTTATACAGGGACTTCTTAAACTTTTAAACACAGGACAGTCTTCAGGACAGAGGGTTTTGCGGTATCTCGGTTATAAACTGTATATAGCTGCTATAGCGCACGTGATGACAGGAACGTTACACGACATTAAACATAACCATAAACAAATAAAAAGTATGATGCGTCATTCGTCAATTAAGAAAAATTGCAATCATTGGCAAATTGCTGTGGGATAAAAAGAATAAAACACTTTGCAATGTGCTGTCATAGGTAAATAATCAACTTCAGGATAGGACCGGTAACTCTGCTTCGCTTTGGGTTGCATCACATCACCCTGTCATTGATTATTTTCCTATAGCAGCATGCCCTGTCGAGTTTTATCCCTTACATTCAACAAACAAACCATACTCTACTGCTGTTTTTCTTGCCTAGATGGGACGCATTGTCTTCTGGAGATTTTCATAACACACCGACCACAAAGTACTTCTGATCCGAGTCAGCTGCCAAATATGCAAATCTCTGGAAACCACTTGAATCATCTCATGTAAATTAGATTACACAATTGTCCTGCTGGTGTTTTACGCGACAAACCACTAAAGTCAGTGTTTAGTCAAATCAGCTCGCATTATAAAGACATAATATTTTTATGTCTTTATAATTCAATGTAAAATTATTGCATCCCAGATAAATAAAGAATATTGGAAAGAATATAATTTCTGTGAATCAAACTTAACTAAGCTGCCTAGGTCTTCCTCATTGATAATTCCATACACATATAAAGCCATAGATAACTTTTTATATATATATGTGTGGACTTGTCTATGTATGAATGTATGTCTTGGTAATTATGCATGCAGTGTGTTTCTGTCTTTCTTCCTCCACTGTTGCTGTGGACTTTGCTTATGTTAATAAAGCATTTCATTATGAAAATGCATTCCATATTGTTCATATATGGCAAACTCGGAGTGAATGTATTTGTGTGTGTGTGTGTGTGTGTGTGTGTGTGTGTGTGTGTCTGTGTGGATCCTGGTTTCAGGGCTGTGGGAAGCTGGGGGTTTAAGATGACACAGCGCGGGCCTGCCGAGCTGCCCTCTGTTTATGTGGCCCGAGAGGAAATGACTAATTGACCCATGCAGCCTGAATGGAAGAGCTGTTGGAAATAATGATACACAGCGATTACGTGGCCACATTTGGACCGGTTGTATAATAATGAAGCGCTGTTCACATTCCCTACAACCGTAGCGTCCCGCAATCTTACATAAGGGGGCTATGAGGTAAGTCTGAGAGAAGGATTAGCCATTAACTCTGTCCTGATATGTTAAACATCATCAGCTTATCGTAAAATGTAGTGGCCTGATAAAAGAAGTGGGATCAAAAGTTACCTGGTACAGCTTAATGATATGTGGGTGGTCCAGCATTTTCATGATCTTCACCTCGCGATAGATCTTCTCCAGGTTGACTGAATCCAGCTGGGTCTTGTCTATGATCTTTATGGCCACCTGTTGAAGGGCACAGCAGCACTCTATAGTTAGCGGACAGTCTAACGCCCAGGGCTGCAGTCTGTGTGTCTTGAGTGGTGTCTGAGCTGTGCGCGAGATTTTCAGATCCAGTTCTCACATGCCCTCGCGAATATCAAAGTCAGATCACACGAGAGAGGAGATGACAGACACCTGCCTGCCATGCCTGATTAAATAACTTTAATGTTTCAAATAATTTCCTCAGGCTACAGACTGCTGATTGAGGAGGCGCTGCAGATTAAATAAGGTTACGTCTCCGTAAACACTTTGCGTTTTAATGTTCTGGGGCTGCCTGAGTGATTAATTCATCTCTGCTTCATTTGAAAGGAGAAGCAGAATAAGCTCTTGAGGAGTGCAGCCTCATCAAAGAAGAGAAAAATGAATCGTCCTGCAGAGTTGACTGTACGCACGGTATTATTTAAATGCTTGCTCTAGGAGTTAAGCTGAGGTCAGTGCTTAACCTTTTCACTGGACCTGTCCTAATCACATGTCATCGAATCCGTCAGTTTGTGGATGTCATCACTAGTGGTAAGTGGGGTGACTTGGCCAGCTGACCACCGAATGACCTCAGGGTTCATGGACAAAGCTGACGCTTTGTATGGGGTGACATACTGAGCCATAAACACTCTTGATAGTGAACTGCAGCATTCAGGTCACATCAAGAAATGTGTCAATTGCATGCAACATTCTTACAGTCCTCTTAGCTGTGATCATTCTCTGATGCACTGCTCTCTCTCTCTCTCTCTCTCTCTCTCTTTCGTGATTCTTGCCGAGTTGTCCGAATCCCTAAAAAAGTTCTGACGGATATCATGAACATGTTGTTGTTATCAAGAAAAAAATAAAAATAAAAAATCTGTCTGACGACCACTGCAAAAAGACTGGAGATAAAAAAGCTCTCAGCTACCAGTGAGGGCTTGTTGATGAATACGGACAAAACAGCAGCTATTATCACAAAATCACACTTACGCAACCGCCACACGATTCAGCAGCAGGCACCACACATCCACATGCTCCATCATCTTCATCAGGTTTGCAACACTAAATTGTTGTGCATTTTACACAAGGACTTTTTCGCTACTGAGCAGGACTTGGATTTAACACATTTTCCAATTCAATCAGACACATTTCTTGCCGTGTTGAGTGAACCGACAGACGCCACGCAGCTCATACACATGAACGCAGGACGCATGTAATATTCATATAAGCTTCCGGCAGAGGCTTGCAAAGAGTCAGCACAGGTACTGACGGGATTTCAGTAACGGCTCAGTATCAGGTATTGACTGGTATTATGGAGAAGTGGAAATATGGGACCGGAGCTGTAGAGGTTTCACACAAACTGTTGACTGGGGAACGAATACTGTCACATGCTGAGCACATTTCAGATAAAGTGCTGTGCAGGAAACAATGGCAGAGAGGTCGATTTCTTTTCATGTCTAGCAGGACCCCCGGAAAAGTGCACACGAGCATTTCCAGAGCACAGAGATCGGTTCTACACATAAATAACACAGTGTGGATACTTTACATTAACAATGTTTACAGATTATTATTATTTCTTACTTGCTCAGAGTAATATTTAGAGTCCTATATATGCAATATCTCCCACTATATGACTTTTTGACTGCATACAGTGTTTACAGTTTATTATTATTTTATGTGCTTAGAGCACATTAATATTTAGAGTACTGCGATGTTTACAGTTTATTATTATTTTTACTTGCTAAGCGTTCACATTAATATCTAGGGTACTGTATGTGCAATATCTCCCACTATATGACTTTTTATATGCACTTTTCACTGCATACAGTGTTTACAGTTTATCATCATTTTACATGCTTAGAGCACATTACTATTTAGAGTAATGCAATGTTTACAATGTTTACAGTTTATTATTATTTTGACTTGCTAAGCGTTTATATTAATATCTAGAGTCTTGTATGTGCAATATCTCCCACTCTATGACTTTCTGACTGCATGCAAAGTTCACAATGTTTACAGTTTATTATTATTTTGACTTGCTTAGAGCACGTTAATAATCTTGCATGGTCTTTTGTCTGTGTTCCATGTTTACAGTTTGCTACTTTTTTTTACTACAAAATAAGAGCTCATTATCAGGTTTGCACTGTGTCTGGATAGGAGTGTGCAACAGTAGCACAAGAATCTGATGGTATATAGATGCCCAAGCAAGATGCTCTTTCTGCACATAATAAACCTGAAATGTGAAACTTGTTCTTATGAGACATTAGCTTAGGTGCCAGTGATAGTGATAGTGATAGTAAGTTGCATTGGAAATGTAGAGCAGCAGTAAGAGAGTTGTGCATGAAGTTTGCACAGGTATGAGCAGGTGTTTGAGTGCTGCAGCTGCTGGTTGCTCGAGTGCTCGAGCTTCTGCACTCACCTCAGTTTTGGTGATTCTGTGTCTCGCCAGTTTGACCACAGCGAAGTTTCCTTTGCCGAGCGTGCGCTCGATGTCGTAGAAGCCCACACGCACCGGCCCGCGGAGCGCCGCTTTCGGCTCACAGTCAGCCATGACCATGCTTTACAGTAGGACACGGAGGAGAAAAAACAAACAAACAAACAAACAGCACACTTCAGCCTCGAGTCACAACACTGCGGTGGTCGGGACGCACCGAGCCGCCAGAACTAAAAACAAGAACCATGTCTATGAGCGAAACGGAATCGCCAGAGCGCGCGCGCGCGGCCACTTTGACCGCTGCCAGCCGCCGTAGCCGAACTAAAGGCGAGAGAGAAATTGGGAAAGGTTTGGGAGAAGTGCGACGTGTCACGCCAAAAAAGCGCCCCCCCCCTGCCTGCCTCCCTCCCTCCTCTTCTCCACCTCTCTTTTTCCCCCGATACAATAGAGCTATAATATTTCAGCTCTTATTAGCGCCAGTGCGCGAGCTGACTCGCGGGAGGCATCGTGTTCTCTGTGCTGACGTGTATTGACGTCAGAGCCGAGGGGGGTTATTTGTACCGGAGAGGGGCGGGGCTTTGAAGCGCTTCCACACTTCAGTGCCAAACTCGTCGCCAGGGCGACCAGCGCCACTGCTGACGTCAAGCGGCAGTGTTGCTCTTCAAAAAAAAAAAAAAAAAAAAAGTTTGCTTTCTAGTTGGTTAGCGGTGAAGTAATGTCGGCCACAACTTCGACCAACTTCTCCAACTGCCGCGCTGCAAGTGTGACACGCGCTCAATTCATGCTCACCCAAGATCTGACCAGAGTTTCTCAATTAG